GTGTGTCGGTGTGTGTGTGAGTCGGTGTTTGTGTGTGTGTGAGTCGGTGTGTGTGAGTCGGTGTGTGTGTGTGAGTCGGTGTGTGTGTGAGTCGGTGTGTGTGTGTGAGTCGGTGTGTGTTAGTGTGTGTGAGTCGGTGTGTGAGTCGGTGTGTGTGTGTCAGTCGGTGTGTGTGTGAGTCGGTATGTGTGTGTGAGAGTCGGTGTGTGAGTCGGTGTGTGTTAGTGTGTGTGTGTGAGTCGGTGTGTGTGTGTGTCGGTGTGTGTGTGTGTGTGTCAGTCGGTGTGTGTGTGAGTCGGTGTGTGTGTGTGAGAGTCGGTGTGTGTGTCGGTGTGTGTGTCGGTGTGTGTGTGTGTGTGTGTCGGTGTGTGTGTGAGTCGGTGTGTGTGTGAGTCGGTGTGTGTGTCGGCGTGTGTGTGAGTCGGTGTTTGTGTGTGTGTGTGTGTGAGTCGGTGTGTGTGTGAGTCGGTGTGTGTGTCGGTGTGTGTGTGTGTGAGTCGGTGTGTGTGTCGGTGTGTGTGTCGGTGTGTGTGTGTGTCGGTGTGTGTGTGTGTCGGTGTGTGTGTGAGTCGGTGTGTGTGTGTGAGTCGGTGTGCGTTTGTGTGTGTCGGTGTGTGAGTCGGTGTGTGTTTGTGTGTGTGTGAGTCGGTGTGTGTGTCGGTGTGTGTGTGAGTCGGTGTGTGTGTGTGTCGGTGTGTGTGTGAGTCGGTGTGTGTGTGTCGGTGTGTGTGTGAGTCGGTGTGTGAGTCGGTGTGTGTGTCGGTGTGTGTGTGAGTCGGTGTGTGTGTGTGTGAGTCGATGTGTGTGTGAGTCGGTGTGTGTGTGAGTCGGTGTGTGTGTCGGTGTGTGTGTGAGTCGGTGTTTGTGTGTGTGTGTGAGTCGGTGTGTGTGTGAGTCGGTGTGTGTGTCGGTGTGTGTGTGTGTGAGTCGGTGTGTGTGTCGGTGTGTGTGTGTGCCGGTGTGTGTGTGTGTGTGTGTCGGTGTGTGAGTCGGTGTGTGTGTGTGTGAGTCGGTGTGCGTTTGTGTGTGTCGGTGTGTGTGTGAGTCGGTGTGTGTTTGTGTGTGTGTGAGTCGGTGTGTGTGTCGGTGTGTGTGTGAGTCGGTGTGTGTGTGTGTGTCGGTGTGTGTGTGAGTCGGTGTGTGTGTGTGTGTCGGTGTGTGTGTGAGTCGGTGTGTGTTAGTGTGTGTGTGAGTAGGTGTGTGTTTGTGTGTATGTATGTGTATGTGTGTGTAAGTCGGTGTGTGTGTATGAGTCGGTGTGTGTGTGTGTTAGTGTGTGTGAGTCGGTGTGTGTTAGTGTGTGTGTATGAGTTGGTGTGTGTGTGAGTCGGTGTGTGTGTGTGTGAGTCGGTATGTGTTTGTGTGTGTGTGTGGTGTTTGTGTGTGTGTGGTGTTAGTGTGTGTGTGTGTTAGTCGGTGTGTGTGTGGTGTGTGTGTGTGTGGTGTTAGTGTGTGTGTGTATGTGTTTGTGTGTGTGTGTGTTAGTGTGTGTGTGTTAGTGTGTGTGTGTATGTGTGTGTGGTGTGTTAGTGTGTGTGTGTTAGTGTGTTTGTGTGGTGATCGGCACTGTTGCGGTTAGCTCGCTGCGTTAACAACCCCGGCGGCCTAAGTGAGATTCCCTGGTGTGTGTGAAAAACATTAGCACTGGGGAGACAAAGGCGGACGTGTGTAGTGCTCGCCACCCACCCACCCCCTCGTGTGCCATTCCGGCCGTCATAGGTACTCGAAAACAGCACTCGCCCAGAACAGTTTGTATCGGCTACACGGGGGACCTTCGTCTTGTTAGTGTTGTGTGAGCGTGTGCGTTTCATCTCAGTCAGTCAACCCATGGCAACTGGGTCCGTCCCGTGACCTCCTGACAGCGTGCCTCCGACAGCGCTGGCTAGGAGGACTTCCCCCAACAGTATGTGTAGGCTACACGGGGGATCTTTGTCTTTAAGTGTGTGCGTGTGTAAGTCGAATCTGAGACTATACGTGTGCGCGCGAGCAACAGTTGCGTAAAAACCCTTCTAACCCCCCCCCCCTCCAACTTCATTCCACTCAGATTAAAGCCACGAACCACAACAGAGCGGCACATTCCACTCAGGTGTCGCGTGCAACTCGCGAGAGCCCCGCACACCTGGACATGCACACCTGGACATGCACACCTGGGTATGCACATCTGGGTATGCACACCTGGGCATGCCCATCTGGGCATGCACATCTGGGCAATGCACACCTGGGCATGCACACCTGGGCATGCACACCGGGGCATGCACACCTTGGCATGCACACCTGGGCATGCACACCTGGGTATGCTAACTCACACCCGGACATACACGCATGGGTAGGAACACATGGATATGCACGCTCACACAACTACGCATACACACCTTGGGTATGCACACCTGGGCATGTCGTGGCGTGAATACCCAGGTAACCACGCTACACTTTGCACGCGCACCTGCAAAAGTACACTCACGCCGGCTAGCACACCTAATCTTTGCACACTTGAACGCACATAAAAGACAAAGATCCCCCGTATAGATCTTAACAGACTGACTGGGCAAGTGCTCTTAGCAAGCCGGCACGGCACACGAGGAGGTGATGTTTCACACACCGCATCAGGTAACTCATTTGCAATGCTGAGTCGACCTAGGGGAGGCCGAGGACCTGTTCAAATGATCGCTGTCACTGTGAGCGGAAATCGAACTTGGGTCGAGCGAAGCGCACTGACCACTGCGCCACCGCTCCCCACACGAACACACACACAACTCGGTGTGCACACACGCACACTCGTGCAATCACACGCGGGCGTTGCACGCGCCGGTGAGCATCCTCGACCTCGCCAAGTACACCCTCACCTGGCTGGTACACGTGATCGTAGAACGCTTGAGCCTGCACACACACCTGGGCATATACGCTTGGGATATGCACACGTGGCCACGCACACCTGGTCTATGCACACCTGAGCCATGTACACGGAGGCACGCACACCTGGTCTGTGCACACCTGGGAAATGCACACCTGGGCACAAAGACAAAGGAAAATCCGTGTAGCCTTAACAGACTGTTGGGGCAAGTGCTGTTAAGGAGCACCTATGAAGGCCAGAACGGCACACGAGGGGGTGGGTGCCAGCAACCACGCCCGGCCGCCTTTATCTCCCCTGTGATGATGTTTACGCACCGCACCAGGTACGTATTTGAGGCTGAGTCCTAAAGCAGTCCCAGGACCAGTTCAGATAACCGTCGCGGGAATCGAACTCGGGTCGCCGTGTTCGTAGCGCAGCGCGCTAACCGCTACACTCCCGCTCCCCACGCACACCTGGGCACGCACAGCTGAGCGCGCACAACCCTGGGCTGAGCACACCTGGTCACGCACACCACCGTGAGAGACACAAGGTGAGTTCGCTCCCTGATACCCCGTGAGCTGAACAAGCGAGAGAGAGAGAGAGAGCGATGCCGCGCACGCACGCCCCTGAGCAGTACCGCGACTCACGTTGGGCACTCGGCGCTATTTTTAGAAGTCGCCCCCCCACTCGGAGCGCTACCGAGCGTTGACTCAGAACGTGGAATGCGATGGAGACGTCGCTCGACGCCGCGACTGGCGACGACTTCTCGGCCGCAGCGAGGAGACGCAGCGAGGAGTCGTCTCCCGGGGTGGCCGGGAACTCACGGAGGTCGAAAGTGGTACCGATTCATCGGGGTCGGACTGAACAGGGCCCTCACTTGTTGGTAGTTGATCATATCGTGTACGCAACAACATGAATAATCCCACAAAATACGACTCATCCTTACAATATCCGTCTCCTTACACCATTTAAATATATGTATACTTCATGGGACCTCCTTTGCCAGTGCCAAAATATGAGACGCGTTTTTTTTCCATTTATTTTTGCTTGTCTTTGAGCTGTACGCCTTTTGGTGCCCTCTGGTCTAACACCGTGTGAGACGAGGCTCAAAAGAAAGCTGTCTCTGGTGTGAACCAATCAGTTTCAAGGACAATGCATCATACTATCAGTGTATGTTTTTTGTTTGCATTCTGACCTCAAGTGTTGTGGTTAATGCAGACATGATTCCTTGTAAAAGGTTTCAGTTTGGTGTTTTAACATCTTAACACCTGTTTTGTTGCCAGAATAAAATGGTAAACCCTATTCTCATATATAAACTTATTTTTACACATTGCATCAGCCAGCCACACGGTTTTATTTTCGGGAGTGCAACACTTTCTGCAGCAGTGGTTTCAACACGAGCTTAAACCCCTTGACCGGTTTCGACATTTCAGTGGCTCATCAGCAGAGCCAGAGGCCTGCTTCAACCCAATGCTGGTGAATTGCCAGATGTTTGTAGGCATCAAGAACCTTCCCTCCCTGATCGATATGGACCGACGCAGAACTCTGAAGTACACAACATGAACTCAACCACGCGAATGATGGAAGGTGGAGGCGTATGCGCGTGTGTTTGCGGAGAGTGGTTGCGCAATGGTTAGCGCACTGCGCTACGAACCTCACCCGAGTCTGACTCACCGCTCACGACCGATAACGGTGGCGAATATTTGAATCGGTCCTGTGCCTCCCCTAGGTCGAATCAGCCTCAAATGAGACAAAGGCGGTCGGGCGTGGTTCTGGCCCGACCATCTCCCACCCTCTCGTGCGACGTGCGCGCGTGTGCATAAGTACTCGTGAACAGCACTTGACTCAACGGTCTGCGAGGCTACACGTTGCATCTCTATCCTTGCGTGCATGTGTAATGTGTGACCAAGCACGATGTCCGTGGGATGAACGAGTTGGTGGGCGAGTTGGTGAGTGGGCGAGAGGGTGAGTGAGTGGACGAGTGAGCGAGTTGATTGGACGATTGAGCGAGCGTTTTGGGCAAATACGCGAGTGGTGAACGGGTGAGTACGTGAGTGATTGAACGAGCGAGTGTTGGAGTGCGTGCATGAGCCAGTGAGTTCGTAGCAAGCGAATGTGGCACACGGAGACAACTCCACGTTCCAGTGCCCGCGTCGCGTACGCTGCTCACCTGCGCGAGGTCTCCGCCCTCGCTCGCGTGGAGCATCATCTTGGCAGTGGGGCTCTTCAGTTCCTCGAAGACGGGCGCGTCATCGGGACACCCACCGGGCAGTCCCGCCAGGCCGGCCAGGTCATCTGGCAGGACCTTGACGGGCTGCAGTTGCGCCAAGATCGGTTCGGGTCCCGTCAGAACCATCCCGGACCCGTCCATGGATCCCCTCTCCTCCTCCACCCGTGCGCCCTGTGTGACGCGCGCTCTCCCCTTCTCTCCTTCTCTCTCGTAACTTCAAGATCTGACGTTGACAATGCTTCACCAGCATGTGGTTGAAGTGTATTGCGGTCAGAGCGCTGATACAAAAGTGTGTTCAAGTTATGCACACGCAATTATTACGCATACACACAAACACACGCGAGTGCATATGCATACACAGGGCACACGTGTACTCAACTACACGTGTGTACACACACACACGTGTACTCAACTACACGTGTGTACACACACACACGTGTACTCAACTACACGTGTGTACACACACACACGTGTACTCAACTACACGTGTGAACACACACACGTGTACTCAACTACACGTGTGAACACACACACACGTGTACTCAACTACACGTGTGAACATACACACACGTGTACTCAACTACACGTGTGTACACACACACACGTGTACTCGCACCGACTGCTCGCTTTGCACGCTCACACTCACACGTGCGCGCATCGGTGATGTGAGTTCCTCTGCTTGCCTCCTCTGCCCCCCGCCCCCCACACACCGCCCCCTACCCCGCAGTCGGAGAAACTTTCCTCCAATGAGCTGCGGCCGGAAGCGGTGATGCACCCTGTGGGGGTGAGTGGCGGTGGGTGGGGGGTAGGGGGTGGAATTCACCTGCACCGATCGAGCGCGCTGCAGACTTACCTGTGCGCGTGTTGGTTTTTTTGCAAAGTGGAGAGCGGTGGCGCAGTGGTTAACGCACTGCGCTACGAACCCGGCGACCCGAGTTTGATTCCCGCTCAGGACCCAATATAAGTGGTAACTATCTGCACCAGTCCTGGGCTTCCCCACGGTCGGCTCTGCCGTATAAACTGAGCAACTGGTGCGGTGTGTGGAACATCACGACTCGGGAGACGAAGGCCGTGGGGCGTGGTCGTGTGCCATGCCGGCCATCATAGCTGCTCGATAACAGCACTTGCTCCGAGTGTCCTCGAGGCTACACGGGGGATCTTTGTTCTTGTGTGTGTGTCAGTGTACGTGCATTATTATCAGGCACACGTTGTCACCAAGTGCAGTCTACAACTCTTATTTTTATTTACGCGCTATATAAAGAAGGGTCATTGCCCGAAACGTCACCTATTATACACCCTTCCGTTTACGGTCACGCAGCGTTATTGACGAACGTGCCGAGTGTCTGTCCCCAGCTCTCCGCTCGGGCTGAGCAGTGACCTCGCCTCACGAGAAACAGCTGCTGCTAATGCTGTCCTCTTGAGTCCACCTTGCAGGCCACCTCTTCTTTGGCCTTTACTACTCACGTCGGCTGCTTAGCAGCGACGTCACCGACACCGTTTTCCTCCCTGCGATGTCAGCATCTATCCCACTTGTGCGGAGGAAGAGGAGCGGCGGCGTAGTGGTTAGCGCGCTGCGCTATCAACCCCGTGACCCCGCCTTAGATTTCCACGGGGTAGCATCAGGGGGCAGTGATTTCAGACCCAAGTCGTTTCAGACTCTCGCTCCTCCCCCTTGTCCTCCAACCCGCACTGACCAGCGCGGTGAAGTATGGTCACATTGGTGAATTGAGAACAGACGGAATGTATTAATTTATGTTACTTGTCTCCCTCCGATCCATAACTTAGGAGCTGCCAGGGTGGTGTCATGGTGAGCGCACTGGACTTACGATCCCACGTGGCCTCGGTTATAATCGATCTCCCGCCGCGGCAGCTGAAACAACGAGGCGAGTTTCTCAAATTCCTCGTCACGTTTCCCTCTGTCCACGCATCATGACGACCACCACCACAATCAGTCGGTCGGTCGACAGGTCGCGCGTGGTGGGGTGAAGTGTTGGTACGCCCATCTCTTGCAACACGTCCGGCAAACATGTAAAGAGTAGACAACAATAACAACAACAATAACAACAACAACAACAACAACAACAACAAAAACCCCGGTGGAATTTCGCTCCAGCGGAAGCTATTCTGAGAGCAGTGGCGTGGGTCGGCACTTGCAGGGCTGAGCCTTTACAATCACCGCAACCTCCCCAAATAAACAAAACGAGGACACATTGTCATCCCCGAAAATAATAATAGTAACAATGCCTCCTCTTCTCCCCGAATACCATAAGATTTCTACGGTTGTTCTTTATGTATTTAAGTTTTCATTCCGTGTCCCGGCCCTGCGGTTGTGTTGGCCCGCGGCAGCGATGCACGTTGCGCTGTTTCCACGCCTTGCTGCTGCAGCGCGTGTTGACCGCGTGAAGAGGAGGACGAGAGCGGTGTTTGTAAGCGTTGCGTTTCCGTGACTGTGTGCGGCAGAGAGAGAGAGAGAGAGCGCGGACGGTCTCTTTGGATGTGGGGAGCGACTCAGCCTCAAACGGGTTACCTGGTACGGTGTGTAAACATTATGACTGGGGAGACAAAGGCGGCCGGGCATGGGGCTGGCCGCTCAATCCCTAGTGTGCCGTGCCGGCGTTCATAGGTGATCGATTACAGCACGATCCGAGAAGGGATATTTGTATTGCGTATAGGTGCCCGCAAACAGCACTTGCCCGGACAGTCCATTAAAGGCTATGCGGGCGTTCTTTGTCTTTTGTGTGAAAGTATGACCCCGAGATATCCTAACCTTGTATTTACTCTGCTCGCAGATTTACGACCCTGCTGTGTGTGCGTGTGTGGTGCGACTCTTTCCTGCCAGCACGAGACGTTATTGCTCTCCCAGAGCAAAGGGCGACCAAGCGCTCGTTTGGCCACTTCATTCCTCCACCCCCCCACCACCACCACCCACCAGCCCCACTCCCCTCCACCCCCCACCACCACCACCCACCAGCCCCACTCCCCTCCACCCCCCCCACCACCAGCACCCACCAGCCCCACTCCCCTCCACCCCCCCACCACCACCACCCACCAGCCCCACTCCCCTCCACCCCCCCACCACCACCACCCACTAGCCCCACTCCCCTCCACCCCCCCCACCACCACCCAACAGCCCCACTCCCCTTCACCCCCCCCCCACCACCCACCAGCCCCACTCCCTTCCACCCCCCCACCACCACCACCCACCAGCCCCACTCCCTTCCACCCCCCCACCACCCACCAGCCCCACTCCCCTGCACATCCCCCCAGGACTTGGCTGTCAATGGCCCTCGCGTAAAAAAAAAAAACTGCCCCGTTGCGAATTCTTAAGCGCGGCGTCGAACTTTAAAGAGCTCCATGCCAGGAGGGGGTGGGGTAGGGGGATCACCTGGAGGAGAGGGGGGGGGACGTGCGGGGTGGTGATGGGGGGGGGTCACCTGGAGGAGGGGGGGGCGGGGTGATGGGGGGGGTCAACCTGGAAGAGGGGGGGCGTGCGGGATGGTAATGGGGGGGGTCACCTGGAGGAGGGGGGCGTACTGGGTGGTGATGGGGGGGGGGGTCACCTGAAGGAGGAGGGGGGGCGTGCGATCGCTTATTTATTTATTTATCCAGGAGAGCTGCGCTGGGTCGTGAGACTCTTTTTTTCCGGACGCCTCTCCCATTTCTGCTTCGGTTTGTTGATTTATTTGAAGATTTTTTCAGCTAATTCAGAATGTTAAGTCAATCCCGTGAGCCTTCGACACTTCACGTGGCCTGCAAAGTGCACCTAGCATGGCACAAGCGCCGTGCTCATGTCACCGCCACTTCGTGATGAACGTCGATTGTTGTTGTTGTTATGCATACGTCCTCGTGTTAGTGCATGTCTGCATATGTGTACGTGTGTACGTGAACGTGTGTACGTGTGTACGTGAACGTGTGTACGTGTGTAGCTGCACGTGTGTACGTGTGTAGCTGCACGTGTGTACGTGTGTACGTGTGTAGGTGCACGTGTGTACGTGTGTAGCTTAACGTGTGTACGTGAACGTGTGTACGTGTGTAGGTGCACGTGTGTAGGTGCATGTGTGTACGTGTGTAGCTGCACGTGTGTACGTATGTACGTGTGTACGTGTGTAGGTGCACGTGTGTACGTGTGTACGTGTGTAGGTGCACGTGTGTACGTGTGTAGGTGCACGTGTGTACGTGTGTAGCTGCACATGTGTACGTGTGTAGGTGCACGTTTGTACGTGTGTAGGTACACGTGTGTAGATGAACGTGTGTAGGTGCACGTGTGTACGTGTGTAGGTGCACGTGTGTACGTGTGTAGCTGCACGTGTGTACGTGTGTACGTGTGTAGGTGCACGTGTGTACGTGTATAGGTGCACGTTTGTACGTGTGTAGGTACACGTGTGTAGATGAACGTGTGTAGCTGCACGTGTGTACGTGTGTAGCTGCACGTGTGTACGTGTGTAGGTACACGTGTGTAGATGAACGTGTGTAGCTGCACGTGTGTACGTGTGTAGCTGCACGTGTGTACGTGTGTAGCTGCACGTGTGTACGTGTGTACGTGTGTAGGTGCACGTGTGTACGTGTATAGGTGCACGTTTGTACGTGTGTAGGTACACGTGTGTAGATGAACGTGTGTAGCTGCACGTGTGTACGTGTGTAGCTGCACGTGTGTACGTGTGTAGGTACACGTGTGTAGCTGCACGTGTGTACGTGTGTAGCTGCACGTGTGTACGTGTGTAGCTGCACGTGTGTACGTGTGTAGGTACACGTGTGTAGATGAACGTGTGTAGGTACACGTGTGTACGTGTGTAGGTGCACGTGTGTACGTGTGTAGGTTCACGTGTGTACGTGTGTAGGAACACGTGTGTACGTGTGTAGCTGCACGTGTGTACGTGTGTAGCTGCACGTGTGTACGTGTGTAGCTGCACGTGTGTACGTGTGTAGCTGCACGTGCGTACCTGTGCAGGTGCCCATGCGGGCACGCGGACCGTCGTGATAATATCACCACGGGTCGCTACATTCTGACGCCTCCGTGACTGACACCCGACACGAAGAGGGCACAGCGGGGAGTGGGTGGAGCGGGTGGGGGGTACGGGGGTGTGATGGGGAAGGCGCAGGCGATGAGGTAGTGATGATGGTAAGGACGAGATGCGAGCCATCAAATTACCCCCCCGCAACACCCCCCCACAGAGGTTATATTTTAAAACATCGTAAAGGAGCCTCTGCACATCAGATGATCGGATTCCCACCGTCGCGTTCCCGGTGCGCGCGGGAAGAGCGCTTGGCAGGCAGACACGATGCTCGGTTTACGCATTAATAAGATAATCATCGATTTGCGGCGGCAAAACAAACACGCGCACAAGTGGACGAAAATACAACGCTCGGAACCGGAACCCTGCGTGTGGACCTCCCGATGTGTTTGCGGGTTATGCAGTGCGCGTGTGGTTTGCCCCCGGAATGATTGTCCGACGG